GAGAGAGAGAGAGAGAGCTTGCAAGGCAGGCCACCGAACTGCTGAGGTAAATCCCCCGTCCTAAAGCCACTATATTTGAGAGCCTCTATTTTGATAGTATTTATCTTGGATTTTAACTAATAAAAGTCTTTTATTTATATGCAGTGAGAAATTTTTCTTTCTACTTAGAAGTTATCACCAGCTTTTTGTTGGGGGGTACAAAGCTGGAATAACAGGACTAATATTCAGGGGAAAAAACAGGTCAGTATTATACTATAAAAGTTTAGAAGTTTTATTTCCCTATTGAAAGAAGATATCATGTTTATGCACCTCATCCCCTCAGGGATTTAATTCCATTTACATTAACAGACATTTATTGAGCACCTACTGTGTGTAAAACACTGTAGAAGTCTGTAGGAACACAAAGGTAAAACAGACATAACCCTTTGCTCTCAAGGATTTCACAGTTTACTGGAAGAACAGCATAAATACACAAATACACTAGAGGGTAGAATACAGATAATAATGAAGTACAGATGGGGTTCTCTGGAGAACAGAGCTGCAGGAGGGAACTTCTATAGGGATAGGGGAGGAAGGAGGACCTCATCAAGACTTTATAGAAGAGATTCCATTAGAGCTACATGTTGAAGGATTGATGGAAGATAGCGTTTTGGGGCTCCAGTTTCTGAAGCAATGAGAACAAATGGTAGAGTAGTCTAGAAAGTACAGGTAATTGGAATTTTCTGAAGAATGAGGTAAATGAGAAGAAATGATGAGAAACAATTCTGGAAAGGCAGTTTGAGGCCACATAGTGAAGTGTCTTGAGTACTATACCACTGGAGAAAGAATAGATTTTGAGTATTGTAATTTAAAATTATCAATACTAAAGTGTATGGAGTAGCTCTTAAATTTTGTATGTATCAGAATCCCCAGAAGGGGTTGTTAAAACAAATCAAGGGGCTTTATTCAGAATTTTTGATTGAGTAACTCTTGAATGAGGCTCTAGATTTGGAATTTTTGACAAGTTTTCAGGAGATTCTAAGGCTGCTGGTCTGGAGATGCCACTCTGAAAACCTCACACTCCTATAGGAAGCTATTTCTGGAAGGTATATGGGGAAAGGAGGTGAAGTCCAGAATCAGGTGGATCCAATAAGAAGAGGACCAAATTATTGAAGAAAGTGGCATAAACAAAAGTTTCTAAAGTGGCAAATGGACAAGACTTTAAGACTATCTGAATGTGGGAGGCCTGCATGTAACAGAATCACATTTATCTAATATGACCCATAAAAAGCATAGTAATTCTGTTATTTGAGGCTGAGGAGAAAAAGTGGAAGGAAGAGAAGATTTGTGTGTAGGAAAATGACCACAAGTTAGTGTAGAATGGCTGTTTGATGTGCCAGTGGACTATTATAGGGAATCTTACCAGACATAATTCATAGGTTTTCAGGAGAGGGAGAGGGAGAGAGAAGGGCAAAGGGAAGGGGGAGGGGAGGGAGAGAGAGAGAGAGAGAGAGGTCAGAATTCCTAAGTGTAGATGCCAGAGGCATGGAACTAATTAATAAAATGGCAGAGACTGGAATGGAATATAGAGATAGAGGAAGTGATTGTTGAGGACAAGCTCTAAAGTGAAGAATGAGGAACAAGGAGTGAGTAGTTAAGGAGACAGTTGGAGAACAAGGAGAACAAAGTATTCCAGAAGGCATGGACTTAAACAAGAAAAGGGTGGTCAGCTGTTTTAACTGATAGCAAATAAGAGGTAGGTAAGGTCAGAGGGAAGGCCACTGTAATTGCCTGTTGGTAAATTACCAATGACTCTTGGGAGATCCGACTGGGGAGAACTGGGTGGGTATGCTTAGAGGGCAAAAGGAAAATCAGTGCAAGGCAAGAAGTAGAGGCAAATGAATGGAATAATGATCAAAGAAACTTAAGTGAGAGACTTAGGGAGAGAGAAGGCAGGAACTGATGGCAAATACTCCTAGAAAAAAGTTGATATTAGTGTCCAAAACATGTGAGCAAAGTAATATGAAATTGAAGAAGTCACAGTGGAATAAAAGCAAGCTTGCAGAAAAGCTGATAGGGCACAGATTTAAGGGATAAAAACACTGAGGTGAAGAGAAGGCAAATCAATGTCTTCTCAGTAAAAAAAGAAGAGCGAAGAGATGGGGGAGGCTCTGCATGAGAGGTGAGGGGCAGAGTCTTAGGACAGTCATCTACTTAGGAGTATACAAGAAGTTTTACATTTCAGTACTCCTGTTAGCATTCTTGAGTTTGTAGTGGTGAGATCATCTATGGATTTGAACAGTCACTCTAGGTGAGGGAAGGCTGAGTCAGGCCACTCTGTGTGGCCTCAGGTCCCACTATCATAGACAGCTAAGTTAGATAGAAATATTATAGGCAGTCAGAGAGGGTAGGCCCTCAGAAGAGTTAGGACAAAGGTAAAACATATTACAAAGGTGGCTAGAGATGCATCCATATCCATTGGAGACCAGGCTTTAAGTAAAGACAAAATGAGCAGGCCTGCATACTTCCCCAAAGGACAAAGTAAGTGGTAAAACCTGGCCTAATGAAGTCTACATAGACAGCGTCATCCTGGTGGGTGACCAAGACCTCCAGACCCATCATTTCTTAGAAAAAGTCTTTGTTTTTTCCATACGTACTTGCTATGTGACTTGTTCCCCCATTGGATTACTACTCCCTAACAGACTATAATTGTAACTTTATCAGGTCATCATAGCTTTAACCCACATTGTACACATGTGATTTTTGCTCTATAAAACTTCGCCCTAAGTTGAGGTCCTCACCACCCATTCAGGACTGCTCCTGCCTCTCAGAAACTATTTTCTCAATAAATATTTCTTACTCAGCCTCCATTGTTCCTAGAATTCATTCTTTGATATTAGAGAACATGAACTCAGGGTATCGGACATCTGACAGGTTGTGAATTATAATATTTCCCTTGTATCAACTTGAGGTCCTACTTCATCTTTTGTATCATCCCTGTATCACCACCTGCATTCTACCGGCCCCAGGTTGCAGTTTTGCATGGAAGTCACAGGAATATCAGGAGACACCATCCATAATAGTTTCCTGATAGGTCATCTTTTCTGTAAACAGTTTTCAGCCTTTTATTTCTTTCCAAATATATGACTGGTGATTTAATGAATAACAATCTCTGATAAAATTCTTTATTTGATTACTCCATTAAGATTCTTAGAAAAGCATTCCAAGCATTAAATTCCCACCTGAATCCTACCAGAGTGATAATGTATAGGAAGCTTAGCTCAGAACAGGAGGAGGCCCAATGTGTTTGTCAGCAACATAAGGACAAAAGTAGATTTAAATGATTTCTTATTTGCATATATTTCATATTCACAGTAAAATAATTTGGAAAGTGCTAGTGCCTTATATTCTTAGAAAAGCATTCCAAGCATTAAATTCCCACCTGAATCCTACCAGAGTGATAATGTATAGGAAGCTTAGCTCAGAACAGGAGGAGGCCCAATGTGTTTGTCAGCAACATAAGGACAAAAGTAGATTTAAATGATTTCTTATTTGCATATATTTCATATTCACAGTAAAATAATTTGGAAAGTGCTAGTGCCTTATATATATATATATATATATATATATATATATATTTTTAGAAAATTAGGCAGTTTACTTAATTGTGAGCTGAAAAGAACATGGCAGCTGTACTATTTGCCTGGAAAGAGTGGGCTATGCAGTCACAGCGCTAGAGTAGAAGATTTAAGTTTAGGTCTACAAGCACTTTCTTTTTATTCTTTATGAAGCCATACAATTACTGGTGGAGTATGTGTGCATGCAGAGTCATAACCTCAAGTTTAATGCCACATGAGGGCAAATTATCAGATATTTGATTTATAAGCAATAAGAAATTCTGTAGATAGTGACTTTTAGGGGCTTTAATTGCAGGGTTAACTGAAACAGCTAGATAAAAACATTAAAAGCATTACCATTTAACTTTATTATTACTTCTATGTAATTTCTGTTTTTGTATGATAATATTTATTTGAAATTATGTACCACAGACAAGACCAGAGGTAGAGAACAGTACACCAAATAACAAGCCTCAAACAAAATGGGACAAAACCAAGAAATAAATGAATCTCACATACTTACAAACTCTCATGAACCTAGGGTGTTCAAGAATTTATAATAAGTTGCATCCCTCACCCCCATGTACTCCAGAAGGTCTGGTAAAAGTCATACATTTTGGCTTTTCACAATCTAAGTATGCTCTCGGCATCTAATGAGCTTTTTAAAAGCCAGTTTAAAGTCTTCATTAAAACTTGTGTACAGCAGTGGGTTGATCAGAGAATTAACATAACCAAGCCATGTCAAAAAATCACCCACTTCAGAAGACACAGTGTAAATGCTCAGACCTACAATTAACTCTTTGATAAAAAATGGAAGCCAAGACAAAATGAATGCACCCAGAATCAGTCCGAGAATGCGAGCAGCCTTGCGTTCTCTGGTACTGGAGATTTGCTGGCGCTCTCCAGGGTGATCAAGGTCATTGTCAAAGGGAGGAATCCGGATGGAAGTATGGATCTTTTCAAACTCAGTTGTGGGATCTGAGGTGGAGAAGTCAGACACACAGAATGTCTGTGTAAGTTTACAACTTGCGAAAGAATTCTGGCTATCCGTACTTCTGTTGCTTAAATGCCGGCTGGATCCCCTTTTCTGGTAAAGACTCTTGGCGGCATGGTAAATCCGGTAATAGAGAATCAGGATCAAAGTCAAAGGAATATAAAATGCTCCAAGTGTTGAGTAAATGGTGTAGATGACATGGTCGTGCTGGATTGTGCACTGGCTGGGGGGTGGGCTGAGTTGGCGGTGACTCCTCCAGAACAGAGGGGGCATGGAGATGAAGACAGAGATAGTCCAGACAGTGAGGATCATCAGGCCAGCCCTCTTGGCTGTCCTTTTCCTGGCATATTCAATAGCATTGGTGATGGCCCAGTACCTGTCCAGTGCGATCACACAGAGATGAAGGATGGAGCAGGTGCAGCAGGTCATATCCACACTCAGCCACACCTCACAGATGAAGTACCCAAGTATCCAGCTGTCCATGACAATGTACATGATGCTTAGGGGCATGACAAGCACTGCCACCAGGAGGTCCGTCACGGCCAGAGAGCAGATCAGGTAGTTTGCAGGCTGGTGGAGCTTCTTGGTGGTGCAGATGGCCATGATGACAGCAGAGTTCAGTAACATGGTTAGTGTGGTGATTATCACCAGTGCCATGCAAATAAGCATCTTCTCAGTGACAGTCTTGGGTTTTACAGCCATACTGGCTTCTGTGGTGTAGTTAGTGAGGTTCATGTTTTTTCACTCGTTCCAATCTACACTGTGGAGAAGCTGTTGGTTATTTTCCTTCTGTGGGAAGCTGTGTGTACTTGACTGTCTCTCACTCGTAAGAAGCCTATAATTTCTTCATCTGCATAGTCTCTTGTGTCTCATTTTCTGTTGGTGAAGGGAAAGGCCACAGCATTTCTTCTGAATGGAGAGTTCCTGGAAAATATTATGTTAGAGGTTAATTAATGAAAAAGCCACATTTTCCTGGAAAACATGATTGTATTTTGGCATTCATAAAATACTATGCATTTTAGATATTCTTTTTTTCTCTCCACAATTTGAGTTCATCTTCACATTGTTTCTTTTTTTAATTCATGAAGTTTATTGGTACATTTTAAGTATACAATATACATTTATCATTGGGAATTTGTACTAAAGTTACGTGACCCATCTTGGTTCTTATTTTTCCCCATTCTCCCACCCTCCCTTCAACCCCTCCACCTCTCTGTATTTATAAAGCCTTTGTTTCCATTCTGTCCTTTTCTCATATTTATTCCATTTCCCTCTTTCCTTTCCCTCACCCCCCGTCTCTCCCCCGCTTCCTCTTTGGACTTCTTTTCCTCATTTCACACAATCTGTTAAACCTTTTGATTCTCATTTACACTTTCAGTTTCTGACACCAGGGAAACTATTCAGTATTTACACATTTACATTACGTCTTAAAGGACACTTTTTTTGAGTTAAGTTCCCAAACTCCTTCTGATGAACATATTACTAAAATTTAAGTCTATTTTGCCACCTTAATTAATTTATTTATATTTATTCTTCTATATATGCTTATATATATAAAGTCCTTTTATATTAAAAACACATGTCCACATTATATGCCTTTAAAAGTTCTGGTGCCATTACATTATAGAAAAAACAATATTGCTTATCAATGAGCAGGCTTCAAACCAGATTTCAAACTTATGCAGTGAATATTCAAATCCAAAGGTATATTAGTATCACAGAAACTTAACTAATTAAGTGTACAATTTCATTTAATTACTTCTGACATTTACATATCCCATTGTTCATTTCCTTGGAGAAAAAAAGCATATAATAACCCTTTGATATTGGTGGCAAATTGTTCTTGGTAAGTCAACTGTGAAACAGCACCATCACCTAGCTCAGTCATTGGGGCTGTGGTTTAGCTCAGTTGTCAAGTGCTTGCCTTGCATGTGTAAGGTTATGGGTTTGATTCCCAGCACTGCAACAAAAGAGAAAGAAAGAAAGAAAGAAAGAAAGAAAGAAAGAAAGAAAGAAAGAAAGAAAGAAAGAAAGAAAACAAGCAGGTGTAATTTTGGTTGCGGTCTAAAGCTTTGAAGCACTACTACTTGGTGTCTCTCTCTTCAGTGGAGCTCTTACCTTTCAAACATGACAGATTTGATAAAATCCTAGTTAGGTTGAGTATTGCTTGCCTTCACTCAATCATCTTTGTATGAATCCTTTTCTTTTTCTTCTTCTGTTGTTTTGTGTTTACCCCAGGTTTTTAAAAAATGGTTTTTAGCTGATGTTCATGAAGAGAAATTAAACTGTGCCGTTAATGAAAGGAAACCCTATCTAAGAAAGTACATTTCTTTACAGAGCTGTGTCATATCATCCTTTGGGCCCTCTGCTGGAAAAAGTAGAATCAAGTCTGAAATAATGCCTTTTTAATTGTATCCTCTAGTATTATAGATGTAGGACAGTACTGTATCATACCTCTGTGAATGTAAAATATCTTGTATCTGCTTTATGATACGTAGTAGTGACTGTGCTTTATCAGAGCTGTTTTTAATGATGTTACTCTAGAATGTTTTCTTTCCAGATGATGATTAAGATGCTAGTAAAAAAAATGGTGCCAGGTAACACAACAGTAACAGAACTTTGCTGTTTTCTGGGTATTATGCTTTTCTTTGTTTTTTTTTAATGGAGTGTGCTGGATGTCTATAATTTTGTTCAGAGCCATGTAGCAAAAAAAGATAGCAGACATTCAGGACATGATCTTTCTCAATTGTTTTGCCTTCTTAAGAAAATAACACATGATTTTTATAAACGCTACCAACTCCTTAGTAGCAGTATGATTTTTAATTAGAAAAGTGTTGGTTAAATAGTGCCTGAACATATCCTAAATCTCTTTAGCTTTTTATATAGTGGTGGGAAGGGGCTATGAAAATACTTAAAGCAAAATATGTCCTGCAGAGCTGATCTAACTGCTAATATTAACATACTAACTTTTATTAGTCCTCTGAAATGGAAAATTAACTGTAATAATGATAATAATAATAATAATAATAATAATAATAATAATAAACATATCCTACTCAGGAGTTGATGCAGGGATTTTCTGGGGATTTGTAATTTTCAGATTGTGCTTTACTCATGCCTTGGGGAATGCCAGTGCAATCTATGGCCACATGCAAACAGGGTTTTCATTAAAATCATTAATAGGACAGAATCATTCTCAACCAAATTGATTAGTGCATACTGCTTCATATTTACTGGCACACTCCAGAATCTCTATCCCAGTGAAGGTCAGAGCACCAGGAGATCAAATCATATGGGCACTGGATATAAGAGGATATTGGCATGCTGTTCTTCAGGGATGTCATGCTTCCAAATTTTAAGTCTCTTATATCAATCACTAACTTAAAGGAAGTGCAGAGGATCAAGAAATATATTAAACTGCATTATGATAATATAATCATCAAAGTACAAGCTGCAGAAAGATCCAGAGGTAAAAATACCCAATTTCTTAAAATTTAAGCTTCAGAGGAAAAAAAAAAGAGTAATGGAGAGTGTGGCATATTGACTAAAGGATTTAAAAGACATAAAAATAAAAACAAAACTAAAGTACTATTACTAGGGACGTATACTTTGTTAGTTTAACTTAAAGCTTAGTGCTCACTTTGGCAGCACATATGCTAAAAAAAAAAAAAGCCTGAATGACAGGAGAGTGATATTTTTAGAGGGCAAAGTAATGGTTATGATTGGGACATAGTTTCTGGTAGGTTGACCAACTTCTATTTCTTGATCTAAGTAGTAGTATGCAAGAATTATTATAATATTTCATTAAATTATACATTTTATTTAAAAGTTAAAAAATACTCAACTGTGAATAATTCATTCTGTAATTCTACTTCATGTGTCAATTTACACATTGTCTTTTATCAGGACTGGTGAACTTTGTTATGAATGATATCCTGTGTCTAGGAAAGGTCAACATTCATCTCCCCCCATACAGAATGGCTGCTTTTGGATATTAATGTATATGTGGAAAAGCAGTTTTGAAGATTTCAGCGCTTTGTTGGATAGCCAGTTGCCACCTATTATGCAAAGTGGGCTTGGAGAATGTGAATCACCTATTATAATGAACTGGCAATTTAATACGGACTCTTAGTATTTTCTTTGAAATACAGTTTTATTTTGTGGCAGTCTTAAGAGTTTTTTGCGGTCCAATCATGGGGCCTTTTCCCCTTTTCAAAGAAGCTCCCCGATGATGTTTTTTTAATCATTTTGCCCAGGTTTAGCTCATGGACTTACTAAAACTATGACAGACAATGCAGAGCAGTAAGTAAAATAATGGGCAGGCCATGTGTTCAGTAGAATAAGCGTTATGTTCTGACTTACAGCTGCCACTAGATGCAGCTGTACAAATGAAGTACATCATCTCACTTGCTACTATAAATCCTGCCACCAGATGCAGCTTAACTGTCATTTGCCACACCCTGATAGTTTTTACATGAGTCTGAAAGCAATTGTTTTGTTATAATTTCAGCATTGTCAAATCTTTTGAATAGTTAATTTGTATCTTCAGCTGCTTTCCAGTGCTAACATCATTGCCTTAGCTTCACTTCAGATCACTAGGCAATAGATCTTATAAGGAGTACGTAATCTAGATTCCCTCATGTGTGCAGTTCACAGTAGGGTTCACTATCCTATGAGAATCTAATGGCATGTGCCACTGATCTGATAGGTGGTAATGGGAGTGATGGTGAAGAACTGTAAAGAAAATCAAGCTTTGCTCACTAGCCTGCTGTTTACCTCCTGCTATACAGCCTAGTTTCTAACAAGCCATTGATCTGTACTTATTCATGGCCTGGGGTGGTGAGGGGTGGCAACAGTTGTTGGGAATCCCTGGATTAGAAGACAAATAAAAACAAGTTTAAAAGGTAGGAAGGTGGTTAAATTTTCTACAATGACAGGGATGTTGGTATGTTAGGTAGAAGGGATACTTTGGGTAGGTACAGGACCCCCCAGAGTTGAAAGCACAGAATGGTCTGAGAAGTTAAAGGAAATTGGAGAACTGGTGTCATGGAAGGGATATAAGTTTGTAGAACAATGGGTTTACTACTCTGGAGATAAGTCAGAGATTCACAAATTTAAAAAGCTTGCATAAAACTTATGCTTATATCAGAGGCTTTTCCACTATTAAACATATTCATTACTGGTTAACTACTTTTGCAAAATCTGATTTGCTTATTGGTTTGGTTTTTTCCCTCCCCAAATTTTTGATAGGTTTTGAAAAAGTTTGTATCTCAGACTATTACACAAATAATATTTAGTTTGTTCTGTGAGGATCAAAAGTTGCTTTGTTTTTCATTCTATAGCTTTTGTTACTACTCTATCCTTGGCTGTGGAACTCATCTAGTTTTTCTCAGCCTTCTTTAACCATCCCCTTTAGATCTGATGATTCATTAGCTACACAACTGCCACAGTCTTGGCAGGGGCTTGCATGAGACAAATTTGTGCCACCTATTTTGTAAATAAATTAAAAAATTTTGGTATAATCTTGTATTTGCAGAAAGGTTACAAAGATAGTATAGAGAGCACCTGTATATCCTTCATCCAATTTTGTCCATTGTTATTACCATAAATATTTATCAAAACTGAGGAAGGGGGATTGATTCATAAATGTTCACTAAACTCGACTTCATTTGAATTTAACCCACTAATGGCCCTTTTCTGTTCTAATAGAGATACCATATTGTATTTAGTTTTCCTATCTTTCCATTCATCTCTGTCCCATCACAATTTTGCTTTCATGACCTTTATAGTCTTGAGGAGTATTGGTCAGGTATCCTTTAAAATGGAGGTGGTTTGTCTGATGCTTTTCTAATGATTAGACTAAAGTTCTGGATTTTTCTAAAGGATGCTTTAGAAGTATAAGCACTATTATTTTATATCAGAAA